GTGTTTAGACTATGTTCCCTCCTTGTTCTCTGCTCAAGACGTGTACTATGTTTTCCTGCTATGTTTTCCTGGTGTGTTTAGACTATGTTCCCTCTCTTGGCAGTTAATATTGCAGTTCCTCTTCTTCCTGTTCCTCCTCTTCTTCTTCCTCTTCTTCTTCTTCTTCTTCTTCTTCTTCCTGTTCCTCCTCTTCTCCTTCCTCTTCTTCTTCCTCTTCCTCTTCTTCTTCTTCTTCTTCTTCTTCCTCTTCTTCTTCCTCTTCCTTCTTCTTCCTCTTCCTCCTCTTACTCTTCCTCCTCCTCCTCCTCCTCCTCCTCTTCCTCTTTCTCTTCCTCTTCCTTGTCTTCTTCCTCTTCCTCCTTTTCTTCCTCTTCCTCCTCTTCCTCTTTCTCCTCCTCCTCCTCTTCCTCTTCCTCTTTCTCTTCCTCTTCCTCGTCTTCTTCTTCTTCTATTCTCTTGGTCCGATCCTCTCCCTCTTTGTTCTCTGCTCAAGACGTGTGCTATGTTTTCCTGCTGTGTTTTCCTGGTGTGTTTAGATTATGTTCCCTCTCTTGGCAGCTAATATTGCAGCTCCTCCTCTTCTTCCTCCTCCTCCTTCCTCTTCCTCCTCTTCCCCTTCTTCTTCTTGCTCTTCTTCTTCTTCTTCTTCTTCTTCTATTCTCTTGGTTCAATCCTCTCCCTCTTTGTTCTCTGCTCAAGACGTGTACTATGTTTTCCTGCTATGTTTAGATTATGTTCCCTCTCTTGGCAGTTTATTGCAGTTTCTCCTCTTCTTCTTCCTCTTCCTCCTCTTCTTCTTCCTCTTCCTCACACACACACACACACACAACGCGCACACACACACACACATACACACACACACACACACACACACACACACACACACACACACACACACACACACGCACACATTCTGTACGTATCGAATGTGCTAGTGCACTGCATGTGGTCCCAATCCTCTCCCTCTTTGTTCTCTGCTCAAGACGTGTACTATGTTTTCCTGGTGTGGTGTGTTTAGAATATGTTCCCTCTCTTGACAGTTAATATTGCAGTTGTGAACAGATCTCATTGCTTGCGTCTGTAATGAGCTGTGTGAACAGATCTTCTTGGTGCCTCCTTTCCTGATTGGAGCACTATCTTTCTTAAGCTACCTGTGTTCCCCACAACGTTAGGTGTCATCACTTCTCGGGCTAGGTATATCCTGCGAGTTAAACTACAGAAAAGAGGCCTAGGGTTATTGAGTTTTTCTTCCAGTTTGTGAAAGTGAAGATCAATATATATTTCTCCACCTTAGGAGTGCTGTGACTCTCTGCAGGCTAAACCATTAGTTGGAATTGTCAATATGTTTACCTTGGTTTGGTTCATGCAGTCTTATGTGGATTGGTTTGCCATTCCGGATATCCTGCTGCCTTTTTTGCCCTTGTGATCTTCCGTCGTTGTGTGCAATTTTTGCGGGGAAGCACCGAGAAGTGCCAGCGAAACTGGAAACCAGTCTGAACAGAGTTTTAACTATCTGTGAATCCTACAGATAGTCTCCGGTAAGTTTCCAGGCACAGCAGTTCCGAACATTCTGGGACCAGGTTCACGTACCTGGCCCAGGCCCAGGCCCAGAAGCATCTGATCACTTCGTCTCCCAATCAAGCGGCACTACGCTGCAGAAAAAACCTGGCCTTGCTATCCACTGCCATCTGTCTATCCACGTGTGGCGGCTCCTATCAGTGGTCCCTGCTGCAAATGGGTTGTCAGGCTGGTTATATTTCGTTGTTTTTTTGTCTGCCATGTGCATGTGGAGCAACGATCGGAGGGGGAGAACGGTCGTATTTCAAATTTTGGTTCTTTGGTGCTTGGTGTTTTTCGGTGCTTTTGACTGGCACTTCTTACCTTGTACGTATGTAGCTTTTCCTTCCTATCGCAAGTGTCTACTGCAAATAGGCTGCTAGGGTGGCTAAACTCCTGCCTGTTTTATTTTCTCTTCAGCCCTTGGGTGTTCGAGGCAACGAGTAGTGGCGGTGAGGGTTGCACTAATTTTACAGCTGCTGGCCTTCAAAAATGCAAGGTGGAATTGCCATGGTTCTTGGTCTGCTAAGTTGAGGGATGGGTGGTTATACGGCCAGTAAATGCCACTCGAGATGCTGAAGGAAGTGGAACCAAGTAGGATGTCAGGAACAGTAATGGGGCCGGAAGTGACAGGCTGGCGGCCCCATATTGGGAGTGGGAGATTCTGATCTCCAATTTTTACTGTGTAGCCATAACAACAATTTTTGATGGAGGATTGGAAGGGAGGGTGAGGTTATTGCAAGTACGGGGATTGTTTAGCCACAGGGAATGTTGAATAGAAGTCCCTTCTTTCACTTGGCTCCTGACATGAATTGAGCTGTGAGCTCTGTTAGCTGTAGGTGTTTAATTAATGCCAGGGCCTTTGACTGTCAATCTGTGCATGGGTTAGGCGTGAAGCGCACGAAAAAGTAGGAGTGGAGGTGCATCACATGCCGGGCTTCCAGATGTAAGGCATGTGGTTCATGTGATGTACGGGATTTCTCTTTCTAAAAATTCTGAAGCAATGTTTATTGTAGATGTACAAGTTCGCTCTTTTTGTTTTCGCAGGGAATTTGCTGAATGCGAGAAGGACAGAAAAGAAATGGTAGGTCACCTCTCCTCGGTCCATATTATCTTGCAATTTTGAAGTCCTGTAATGAGTGCAACCCTTGATTTTGTGTTGCTAAGACATCACAACGGGTGCTGCATTCACAAAAAGGACTGACAGTTGGTTATATACTGGAAGGGGATGATATTAATTCCGCATGCCCCTTGCGGACAGGGTTGCACACGTGCTACAAAGGCAACAACAGTAGGGAGCAAGACTTTAAACCATCAACGAGTTCCAGCCAATTTTTCAGATTCGCAGCGAGTTATATGAAAAGGCAAGTTCGTATGGGGTTGCCTAGGTGTTTAATTAATGCATGGGCCATTTTCACCAGTTCTTGCGGAAAGTCCACTTAGTTGGATTTGCAACTGCTGAAGACCGAAAGCATACAGGATTTGTTGTTGCGACACGAGCGAGTTATGTGTAGGTGACCAGGTATTTTGTGACGAATTCTTATCGTCACACTCAAATGGTGACGTGTAAATCATTTTTTCGGTGCTTCTGAAAGAGTGTCTTTCTATACCACGATGACAACTTGTCTTTAGCTGCACCTACATAAAACATGTTCAACACATGCGCAATGTCATATCCATCACTTAAGAGCAAAAGTTTTATATGAAACCTAGCGATGTTGCTTTGCAGCCAAGAGCGAAGTTTTATATGAATCTTAGCGATGTTGCTTTGCAGCGTCGAGCATAGACCACGTGGGATTCGTTTTGTCTATTCACGGCATCTGCTCGGACATGCCAAAAGTTTGTCCCAGACCTCCCTGGCCTGATGAACCCTTGCCAACTTACCTCATTTTCTTAGGCCTCTGTAACAATCATCACCGCTACATTGATCCCTTCTCTAGCATCTCGTATGCACTACATCAACTCACTTCTAAGATGAGCTCTTTGTTTGCACAGACAAGCAAAGCTCCCATTGACAAACACATGGTCGCCACTACACAAGCTTTCAAGATTGTGGACAACCTTCGCTTGTTAATACAGATGCCCTTGACTTCGGTTGTTTCATCCCATACTTCCACCCCTGAGTCTTCCTCATACTCCACTTGACCGTCCATTGCGACCTTGCCCTCACACCAGTTGCCTGTGAAAGTTGGGAACTCGTCCCTGCTACATGAAAGAGCTCCTTGTTATTCTTCATGCACTCACAGTCCAGTGCCCATGCCTTGAGTAAGCAACACCTCAAATATTCGCACTTCATTGGCTCGATTGTGCAAGTAAGCAACACCTTGAATATTCGCACTTCATTGGCTCGATTGTCTTGCACAACTTGCTTTTGAGATTTGACAAAGGCTTGGTACAAGTAATCACGTTTTTTATGCTGTCAAGGGGACCTGATCGTGAACCTGATGACAAACTCATGGCTCATGTCTCTCTCACCTTCCAGATGACAAACTCATAGCCCATGTCTCATGCCAGGGTGTCCCCATTGTAATACAACCTATTCTCTTGTAGTTATTCTTTTGTCTTTCTTTCTTTTGAAGACGCCGGAGCTCATAGCTCATATGTCTCCCACAATCCCGATGACAAATTCATAGCCCATGTCTCATGCCCAGTGGTCCCCATTGTAATACAACCTACTCTCTTGTCGCTAAGACGCTGGTGTTGACCTAGTAGGGGAAGTGATATGAGTAGCTCCCTCTATCAGAGTGGCCGGGTGCTCCGGTCTATTCCTGGAATCTGGGTCTAGCGTCCCTCGCATTGTCTGCAAATTCCCTTTCTTCAGGGAATGTCGGGGCCATTACCTGCTTTTGGCTTGAAAACTGCCTACTTTGTTGGCCGCATGCCCAGCCCTACGTTCTGCTGTCCTTATAAAGACCTTGAACCCTAAACCCTAAGAAAACCATTGCTTCCCTATCATCTGCGCTACAGACCCTGGACCCTATTAGTGCCTCGATACATCTGAAGACAACACCCCGTCCACCGCGGGCAGGGTGCACCCTTCGCTGACCACACATGCTGTTCCTGCACCGTCCGTGGGCATGGCCCCTGTGCTGTTCGTTGCCCCTGTGACGAAAGGGACTCAGTGGCAGTGAAAAGGCTGCCCGTATTATCACGCGCCCTCTCCGCTGGGGGCTCTCCAGATGCCCTCGCGTTGCCCGTCTTCAGGTTTTGTCCACGCGAGTCGGAGCTTGTCGGCTTCTAGCCAGACTATCTTTTCTATGCCTAGCAGGTCCGAGCATATCTGATGCCAAATGTGTTGTGGCTTGTTCGGGCTCATGGCTGTTTGTTTCCTGCCCTCGCTCCAGTCAGCCCAGTATTCTGCCTCCAGCAGATGGAGGAGCTTCTCCCACGCTTGCTACACTGGCTGTTGCTTCTCACCTATTGGCTCCCTGCACCTTCTCCACATGATCCACAAGGCCAGTTGGCACAGCCTCTGGAGCAGTTTGCGCTGGTATGGCCGAAGCCCCAACCCTTGAGCCTGGAAGGATCGGGGCCTTTTCTTCTCGGAACAGCTCCCAAGTAGGAGCTGTCCACGAAGCGTTGGGGCAAGTCAGCAGGCGGTGTTCCATATCCTCGTCTACCTGGCCTGTCTTGCATACAGCATTTATCTCCCTCGGCTATGTGCTGTGGGTGTTTGACTGGAAGGTCGAGGTGGGGGAGCTGCTGTATGCTTCTGGCACGTGAGTTTCTGATCGCGAGAATCAAGGTCCGAGGGATGTGATTTTGGATGTCGAGGTGGATTCCCGTGTGCTTCACCCACTTGGACACTGTGATGTCCACGAGTGTCAGGAAAGGGGTCCTTAGCGTGTAGCCGTGCTAGCCCGGAGAGTTCAATTGGCGCCCGACTCTCGAGGCCTGTTCAGCCGGGTGCACCTTAAGGCTGTGCGGCTCCAGTGTTGGGTAGCAGATAGTGAAATCTGTGTTCTTGACCATCCTCACCTTCCCCAGCCGATCTTGCTTTACCACGACCTGGGCCCTTACGATTTTTGGTGAGAGGGCTGGTCCTTGCTCCCGGCAAACAGATGTGATGCATTTGGAAAAGGAGTCATTGTCCATCTGCAGAAGGGCGTGCCATATATGTGAGGGCTACCTCTGGTGTGTGGTCTTTGGAGCATTGTGGCCCAATCTTCGCTTCGACAATCAGCCGGCCGGCTGAGCAGATCGAAACAGTCAGGTGGGATGGAGAGCAGCATTGCATTCACGTTAGCTTGGAGGTTGCCGTGGCCGCCGTGTAAGGTCTCCCTAACCTCTTTGTGGGTCGTCCATAGACCCTGCTACTGGTTCCAGGTATGCTTCACCTGGCAAAATCTCTTCTCCAACTACGAACCCCATCTCATGTCAGCCCTCGTCAGTGACCAGGGTCTTCGGGTCGTATCTGTGATCCGTCGGTTGAGCAGTTGCTAGTGGGGCTGCCTGACCTTCACCGACATGGTTTCCCTCCAATTGCGAACCAAGTAGGATCAGAACGTGGAGTCCCTCACTCTGGTTTCAGTACTTGACCACGGTTTTGCGATAACCCAGAAGAGCACTTGCATGTTAGCCAGCGTGGCGAATTTTGGCAATGACTTTGTGTTGAAGGGTGAGTCTGTGCCTAAGGAGGTGGGTCTGTGAGATACATGCGAGAACCCATTTTGTTTGCAGCGCTTTTACTTGCCGCCCCAGGTCAATGATGCCAAGGTCCATGTTACCTTTGGAGAGTAGGCGTGTGTCTAGGCTACGTTGGTCGAGCCTTATTCAATGCGCGAGCTCTAAATTGTGCCAACATACCACAACATTGAGAAAATCGAGGAATTGAGTACAAGGGGTTTTTCGAAGACGGAGGTGTAGACCTCAGATCGAGCTTCTATCGTATGTAGCATCTTGGTCAAAATCGATGGTGCCTGGAAATGCGTAGGGCCTATGACAGAGATTAGAATGCCCAGATATCTCAGCGGCTCACTGTTGTCCTGCCATGGCAAGTCGGGGGTGATGTTCCACCAGCCCACAATCTTGGCCCATTTGATGCGCATCTTCGACGCTAATTGAATTGCCTACGTTGCCCTGGCGAGCCCTTTAAACGATGATCCGACACTTTGAGAAAAACAATTATATAGTTTGTAAATAGTATGGTGGGGGAATATAGTTATCATACGGGTCGTTTGGAGGGATCTGCCAGTTGTCCGCCTTGTAGTTATTCTTGTTCGAGTTTTTTCAGGTTTGTGTTCTTGACATTTTGGCCCTCAATAATGGCCTAATGTCTATAGACTTCAAGGGTTCTCATTATTTGTGTGTGTATGGAGCTTTTTGCTGAACACCATGATGCATAAGCAACATCATATCGCGGCTTTCATAAAACCTTTGAGGACATAATTGATTTTTTCTTATGTCATCATTGCTAAAAGGTAACGTCAAAAATATCTTCGAACTTATCCTACATGTCAAGCAATAAACCCTCTTAAGGTGTGCCCACGACCAAAAAACTATAGTTTGTGCCCATACCTATGTAATGTTCATAATCTATTTATGTGAACTTCATTCCAAGTAGGGCCATAATTTGTATCCAATCATTGTTTGTAGACTAACCAAATGTGCCTATTTTATTCCGTGGATGACCTCTTGCATAGCTAAGGACGTTGCAACATGAATGGTCAGTTCACCTACTATCAACCAATTTATCATTTGTTTCTCTAATCGATGATAAGTTAATCAATCAGGAATTCATTGCAAAACAATGAATTTGTTACTTATGCAATCTAGCAAGTGGGTAAATGATTTTATTCATCTTGTTATGACATTAATC